GCGAAGGAGCTCTCCTCGAAGAGGGGAGGAGTTTACTGTTCAATCAGTAGGAGTAGAGTCTTTCCTGTCCCTGAATTTATTCAAAGACTGTAAAGTAAAGGTCCGGTGAAGGGAATGCAATTGTGAGACCCTACGGGCGAAGGAGCGAAGCTGTGAAACCGAGTTGTAAAGGTGAAGGATTTCATTCATTGAAAGAATAGGTGTAAGATTTCATTCATTGAAAGAATAGTAGGGTACGGTGAAGTAGCTCTCGGTTCAGGAAGAAGACGAGTTGACGAGGTTTACGAGCGAAGCTGTGAAACCGACCGATAGGGGAGGTGAAGGAAATGGAATTGTGAGACGAGAAGGGGAGAGGAGCGAAGCCGCTTTATCGACGGGGGAGGTGAAGGAAATGGAATTGTGAGACGAGAAGAGGATCGAAGTTCAGCCTAGTTCAAGAAGTACAATGCAGGGTTACTCTCACTCTCTTTATCTCACTCTCTCCCTTCTTTCTTTGTGCCGTTGAAGGGACTATCGTCAATCAAAGGGGAAGTCGCTTCTCTTTCTCTTTGTTTACAGTCGAGTAAAAGAGTGAAAGCAAGAAAGGAGCTTCTCATCCAGCTTACCTAGTTTAACCCGAGTCTTTGAATAACTCACAATCACTGACGGGAATATCGTCAATTACCGAGTGAATAAGCGTGTCAACCACTGACCTTGTTCAAGAATAAATAGGTGTAGGAGTCTAAACTCTCCTGTTCCGGAGCTTGACCTGATTCTCATCCATCCAGCCTATGTGAAAGAGTGAAATCAATCTGATCATTAATCGATCGTCTTGACTTGTTGTAGAGGTGGAATAAATGGGTAAAGGAGAATGCGTCTTTCGTTTCATCCTTCCTTCCTAATTAAATTACCTTGTGAAAGAATAGAGAGTCCATGAATTAGCGGCAGCGGCTTTACCTTGTCTTTGAAGGGAAAGAATTATAACTTTAGGGAATATCGGTTCTGGAGTTCAATCAGGTGAAGAGAGAGTCCATGAATACGCTCGAATTCATAGTGTTTACAGTGAGTGAAAGAATCACGAACCATAACAGAAAAGGGACAGGTTCAGGAGCAAACAAAGAGACAGAAAGAAGGGAATGAGACCAACAGAATAAGTGACGGAGCAAACAGACCTTCAGAAGGGAATGAGAACCATAAAATAGGTGAAGGAGGGAAAGAAGGTGACAGTGAATTAATCTTTCGTTGAGTCTTTCAACACACTAATAAGAATCTTGATCAGTTAAAGAATGAATAAGGAGAAGAGGGGAAAGATCTGTCTTTGAATAAAGAGGGTCAGCAGAGAGATAGTTGTAGAGGTGAATGAAGGAGTGTTTGAAGGAAAAGGGGCGAAGCCCTGAGACCAAGAGGCAAAGACGCGAGACCAAAGAAAGGTTCAGGGTCGAAGACGCGAGACGAGAAAAGAAAAGGGAGAGGGTTTCTTTCGGTTCAGTAAGTAGGGACAGGAGCAATGAGACCAGAAAGAATAGGTTCAGGATAATGAATAGGAAAGGTGCGCAGCAAGCAGTGAGACCAAGTTCAACACCTATGATATTCTATTTACCGAGTCAAAGAAGTAATAGTACAGGAAGGAGTTTAATCAATAGGTTCAGGCGAAGAAGTGAAAGAGCGAGACCGCGAGGGAGAGGAGTGAAAGCAAGAAGGGGCCGGAGAAAGAATCCATCAATAGGTGTTCCGGAGTCAACTTCACTCTCATTTCTTCTTCTTTCGTTTCGTCTTGACTTACTCTTCCTTCTTTCATGAATTTCCTCTCTTGTAAAGTCAGGGAATATTGTAGAGTGTTCCGGTCAGGTCATATCGGACAAAGAAGAATAAATAGTCCTCTTTACCCTTTCAATCACATCACAATCAGGTAATTCAGGTTCAGGAGCGAAGCGACCTTGTTCTTCAAGAAGAATAGTCTGGGAATAGAGGGGCAGGAAATGAAATGGTGAAACCGACCTTAAGGGGAGGGGCAGGCAATGGAATTGTTCAACCGAGTTGTAGAGGTAAAGGGGCATCAGCGACCAGAAGGGGTTTGTTTCTTCCATCTGGTGGAGAAGTGTGGCTATTAAGTGGAGAAGTACCTATTAAAAGTGTTGAGAGGGCCAATGGAATGCGTGCGCAATCCTTTCCTTTCGTTTGAAACAATGCTGGGTTGTTTACGGCACAAGAACTTAACTTGGTTCAGCTTCAAGGATGGTGCTGTTCAGATACTGAGTGAGTCCTGGTTTCTTCTTATTACTTACCCAATGGAAGCCTCAGCAATATTCTCCACAGAAACTCCAATTCGACGAGAGTCCTGTGATGGAAGCAAAGATTGAATATCGTTTGGGGGGTTGCTTCCGCTCTGACTTATCTGAATGAAGAATGTGAGAGGGAAATCATTCAAAGAAATGTTCAGACTTGCAATATATTGCTTGATGGAGAGTTCAATGCTAAGCTTGGGGATTGGGGTCTGGCAGAAGTTTAGTCACACTGTTCGAATACAAGAGAAGCTACTATACCGGCAGGAACAATGGGATATCCCGGACCTGAGTATCTTTATTCGGGTATTCCCACTGAGAAGACAGATGTTTACAGCTTTGGTGTGGTAGTGTTAGAGGTGGCAACGGGGAGAAGGCCTCTTGATTATAATGGAATTGTTGTTGTTGACTGGGTCTGGGACCTGTGGAAAAAGGGGAAATTAATTGAGGTGATTGATTCGTGTTGATGGGGCAGTTTGAAGGGGTAGAAATGGAAAGGATGCTGATGATGGGACTTTCTTGTGTGCACCCAGACAAAAAAGGTGAGCGCCGGTGAAGGAAGCTGCAAGGATGATTAGAGATAGAAGCACCACTATTGCCGGTGAGTAAACAAAGAGTGGGCATTTGACCTCTTTTACCTGTGAATCTGAAGAAATAGTGAATCTCGGTGGAGATTGTCCCAGTCTTGATGATGCACTGTATATGACCCAACCCAATTTAGCTAAGACTTGCTCAGGAAAGGCCACACACATTAACATTACTTCAAATGGTTTTCAGTATGGGGTCTTTGTTGCAGTTGGTATTAGACATGGTTGAAGCTTGTTAACCAAGACCAGTCTTCCATTTTGGATATCGGGGGAATTCCACCTTTCAACAAACCTCAACGAAGAAGTTATGTTTCCTTTAATATAGTTTTTTATAACTATTCCTCTGTAATGCCCGAAAATGAAGAGGAGATTGCTCTTATCAGTCATTCTCATTTTGACCGCACTTATTTCTGCTTCTTTCTTATTGTATCATTTTTATACAGTCTCCCTCCTTATTGTTAAGACTCTTTTTGATTGAATAGTGTGAAACTGTATTAACGCTCACACCCCTACCAGTGCCTGAGCCCTTGCCTTGGGGTGGAGTCGAGCTAGCCCAGATATAGTCTTTCAGTTCCTTTCTGATAAACCAATTTACTACTCATAACGAAAAAGATCTCGATTTATTTACAGACAGATGTCGTGTGTACTGATTGACCAGATGCGACCGATACCTGTTGACAGATGACAGACAGAAGAGCGGGAAGTAGCATATCTTTCAAGAAAGAAAATGATGTTACTTACTTATAAGCAAGGTATTCGCCCCCCCTTGAATAAAAGAAGGGAAGCAGTATTGATTTTGTATTGATGGATTGAGGAGTCATGCTTTACCAATTTCCAATACAGTTGATCCTGTGTAATTTGAGCATAAAAAGTTGATCTTTCTTTAGCACCTCTTTAGCACCTAGTCCTGCATGCTGGCTGACCGAAGCACCTGTACTTCAATCGATTAACCAAGCACGGGAGATATTAGCTAAAAGGATAGATAACCGGGATATTGAAAAAAGAAGGGTCGTAGACAGATGAGCCTTTGCGACCGTTTACAAGAGTGAATACCGAAAAAGACAATTCCAGATGCCCTCAGACAGATGCCACTAAACAAGTAAAGGACAACGGACAGTTTTCGCGGCGGGAAGACCAACTCTCATTCAAGGAAGCGGACCGTTGACGACAGCAGGCTGGGAAGGACAGAGACTACTAAAAAAGGCGAAACTCACATCTTTTTAGAGGCCGTACTTGACCCATCCTTCCCCTGAAACTCGCAATTTAGCAAAGAAAACCATGTAGTACCTTTTTCTCATGTCGCTACCAGCTACAGATCAGATATGACCGGTTGGTTGAAGAAAGAAGAAAAGAGAAATGAACGATTAAGCGAGACTTTGCCTTATAGACCAATGAAATGGAAGTTTGATTAGACAAAAGTTCTTTGAAGACCTCTTCAGCTTCCACGCTTATTATTGCTATCACCTCACTTTAGACCTGCTTACTTAGAATGAAGATAAATAATGAAAGGCTTTACACAAGACCCTTACACAGGCGAGAGAGAGAGCCTTCGCTTACCTGCTTACTTAACCGTGGCCTCCTATCGTATCTATATCCTCTTTCTTTTCTTTCCTTCAGTTACATCAAGTCTCCGTTCTACTTCCAACTACCGATGGGAGAAGGCTTGGACGTATAGCAAGAAAGAATCAGAGGTATGGCATACGGGATATATGAAATGAAAGGGGCTGGAAACAGAGCTGGAGATGAGCGCTAGCCAATGGTGAATACTGAAGAAAGCACCTTAGCAATTACCAGTAATGCCCCTATCGACCTCAGTCTTGTTTTTTGCTAACTTGAGTAACGAACACTATCTCATTAAAGGCCGAATATCCATATATATCTTTATGGAAGAGAGTCGGCCCACTTTTAGCCAGCGATTATGCCCGTTTTAGCCCTACCGTCCACCCCTATATAATGGAAAGAGGTACTTTTGAGAGCTGATGTGTAACGGATCAAAGCGACCGTTAGTCGGGCTGATCTGTGATTGGTCAAGGCGAGCGAGAGGACACATACCTCCTCCATATTCCTTAAATGGGCAAGACTCGGATACTGCATGCGATCAGTATAAGAGTTTACTGAACCTTAGATGGAATTGTGAAACCGAAACCGACAGGTGAAGGAAATGAAATTGTGAAACCGTAAGGTTCAGGATATGAAATTGGGAAACTGATAGGTGAATGAAATGCAATTGTGAAACCGACGGAGGAAGTGAAGGGGAAGGAGTTTACAATGAAAGAACAGAGAAGGAGCGCAGCAGTGAGACCAATAAGTGAAAGAGAAAGAAGAATACATAAATAGGTTCTGGTTACGGTGAAGGTGAGGTAGTTATTGATCATTCATCCTTCTTCTTCAAGAACTCCTTTTCCTCTCCTCTCCTGTAAAGGATTGAATTCATCTTGTCTTGCTTCAGTCTTTCCTCTCCTGTAAAGGAAGATCTGATTCTTCTTCTTTCACTGTTCAGTCTCATTCATCTTTCATTGTTCAATCACAATCCAGGAATATCGGAAAAGAAGAATAGAGGTTCAGCAGGAGAAGATCAAGAATAAGTAGTCTTTGTTTACAGGTCAGGTAATATCTGTTCAGGAAAGAGCTACTTTTACCTTCTTCAATCAGGTCAAAGCCTCAAAGTCAAAAGCAGGAATCCGAGAAAACAAGACCCCTACGTCTTTCTTGTAAACTAATTATTCGATCTGTAGATCCCAGCAAGGCTGCCACATCACTAAACCACCCAGGGATGTCTCTTGCAAAGAAGAATTCGTAGAGATTTTTCCAGAACCCCAGTCCAGCCTACCCGACTGATATAATCTAGAATCCACTCTCTGCCTTTACTTAACTTAGTAGTAGGCGAATAGTGACCTTATTTGTATGCGCATTCACAGGGCACGTTCCAAGATCTCCCGCAACGAGAACCTAAGACATGGTTGATTGATAGTAAGTTGAAAGAATAAATGGATCGATCATAAGTTGGTTGAATATTGAGTGTAGCTTAGGCTACGTCTTCTGTTTACGCGCTACGTCGCCGGCACACAGGATCTTAGACAGGTTTCGTCCCCTTTCGGACCTTCTTACTAGTTAGTACGGTAAAAGCATGATGCAAATAGACCGAAAAAAGAAGAGTTCTTTATAGATGAGTTGTAGTCGATTCGCCCGTTATGGCTCGTCTCGCGCTTAGTCACTCTCGTCGGATAGGGGGAAGTCTTTTCTGAAAAAACTCGCTGTTAGTTCTTCATATATATATGATTGATTTTTGAGATACTAACTCTTTGGTTGGATCGGACAGGGAACTTCTATAAAGATCTTTCCACTCATTCATCATACTCAAAGTCGAAGTCACGGCCGGGGGCTCGGAAAAAGAACTTGAATCGGTGTCGTGGTGGTACTACGAGATGGCGATTTCTTGTAGTATAGAAGAATAGATCCGCAAACCTATTGTATTGATTGACCATAGATGCGACCGCTATCTAAGAGAATCTCAGTAGTTCTTCTATCGTTCAAGGGCAAGGGGAAAGTAGCGGCTTGCCTAGATCTCGTATTTCCCACGTAGTCCGTCGGTCAAACCAAGGATTCTCTGATCAAAGTAATATAGAGATTCTTTTTTTTTGTTCTGGTATGTAGGCGAGCTAGGAGCGCATCAATCGGGTCAAAAACTCAGATAGGATCATCATCATGGCCCTTTTCTTCTTTCTTTTGTTTGTGTCCGGCTTTATTAGTGAAAAAGAGGTGTGGTGTGTGGGTTTTTTAAGGCTTATCTGTGGGCTGCTGCTCTGGGGCATCCAATTCCTCTTCTTTCTTTCTTTTCCTGAGGATCTCACATCGAGAGCTGCTTTTTCTTGTTCAGGGTCTTCCTCAAATTCGGGGAAATCGGTCAGGGGGCTACCCTCTTCTCGTCTCACAATTCCATTGCCTGAACCTTATATTGACTTTATTACCTGACCCTTATTCAAAGAATGAATTCAATCCTCTCCGGTCTCAGAATTCCATTGCCTCTCCTCACCTATCGAGATATATATATAAACTCTTCCCCAGAGGAGAGCGGAAGCTCCAGGATAAGTATGTCCTGCCTGGATTCTGTTAAATAAAAGCTCTGCCTTATTTAGTTAGGTTTGTAAAAAACATATGAGTTCACGCGAATGGAGGAGCGTGATTTTAGGGGCCATTGTTTTGGCAGAGTGGCGGAGTCTTCGTCCACTTATTCTATTTTTGTATATTTGGTTTTTCTATTTTTGTAACTAGATTTATTATTTAAACCATTCAACGGATGTAAAATAAATATATCGAGTCTTCAGCATTACCAGCGAATCTCTCTCTCTCTCTCCTTTTACTTCCGCTAATTTTTCCTTCGAAGAAACCTTCGGCCAATTTTTTCGTCGACATCCGATTTGCCAGAGTCAACAAGTGGTATCAGAGCCTGGTTGAAGCGATCGGTAGTATACCATCACAGAAGAGCCAACCTATCAACAATCAAGTTGAATAGCTCAAGTGGTTAGAGCGTCGATCTAATAACACACAGGTCTTAGGTTCGAGTAGAAGAAAATGCAAAGCGCAAAAATAAATACATCGTGGGGCCCATCTCAAGCAGGCTCGCTCACTCCTCCACGCCGCCAAGTGCCGGCATCTCCATCACCACCACGAAGAGGCCGTGGCCGACATCGTGATAACGGGCGTCGAGTTGTCGTTGAGCGAGTGATCAGGGAGACAACGACCGCCGTCGTTCAGTACCCGATGTTGACAAGGTCCAACTACAACGAGTGGGCCTTCGGAGATTCGCTTTAAGGACGGCGAATCCGTCGATGATTTTTCAATGCGGATCACGGGGCTCGCCAGCAGCATCACCACCCTCGGTGGTGGCATCAGCGAGACAGAAATCGTGAAGAAGATGTTGCAGGTCGTTCCCGATCACCTCGAGCAAGTCGCGATTTCAATCGAGACATTGCTTGACGTGAACGACCTAACAGTGGAAGAGGTGACCGGAAGACTACGTAACGTCGAGCAGCGGAAGAAGAATATCACTTCAGCTGTTGACAAGGAGGGTCGTCTACTCCTCACGGAGGAGGAATGGCTTGCACGCCTAAAGCTCCGCTGTTGCAGGTCGTTCCCGATCACCTCGAGCAAGTCGCGATTTCAATCGAGACATTGCTTGACGTGAACGACCTAACAGTGGAAGAGGTGACCGGAAGACTACGTAACGTCGAGCAGCGGAAGAAGAATATCACTTCAGCTGTTGACAAGGAGGGCCGTCTACTCCTCACGGAGGAGGAATGGCTTGCACGCCTAAAGCTCCGCGACAACACCTGTTGACAAGGAGGGCCGTCTACTCCTCACGGAGGAGGAATGGCTTGCACGCCTAAAGCTCCGCGACAACACCGGCGAGAGCAACGGGTCCTCCAGCCGCAAAGGCGGTAAGAAGCCATGGATGTCCCACGGGCGCACGCGCGGGAAAGATGGGAATCAAAAGAAGGAGTCGACCAATGGCAGGCCGATCCAATGCTCGAACTGTGGGAAGAGAGGACACCTGAGCAGAAATTGCTGGAGCAAGCTGAGGAATAAGGAGAAGGCCGAAAAGGCCCAGGCCCATGTGGCTCAATCCGAGGAGGACGAGCCAGCTCTCTTCATGGTAACCGCATGCGTCCCCAATTTCGATTCTCAATCCGACGACGATGTTGAACCCAAGAAAGAGCTCCAGTTGGGCGTAGCAAAGCTGGCACCAACTGGGGAGCCAATTCAACTGGAGGAGGAGCGAGTGTTCGCTCAGATCGGCGAAAGGGACGAGCAACACGAGCACC